ATGGGAATCGATCTACCTCAAGACCCAGCTATACTACTCATAAGCATATACCCAAGGAGCGTTCCATCCTACCACAAGGACACTTGTTCAACTATGTTTATAGCAGCTTTATTCATAATAACCAGAAACTGAAACCAACCTAGATGTCCCTCAATGAAGAATGGATAGAGAAAATGTGGCGCATTTGGACATTGGAGTATTACTCAGCTCTTAAATAATAACATCATGAAATTTGCAGGCTAGTAGATGAAACTAGAAAAAAATTCATTCTGTATTCCATCTGACCTAGAAGGACAAACATGGTATGTACTCATGAGTGGATATTAGCTCTAAGGTAGGGATAATCATGCTACAATCCACAGACCAAAAGAGGTTAAGTAACAAGGAGGGCTTAAGGGGGGGCACATGGATCTCCCTGGGAAGATCCCTAGAAGAGATTTTGCTGATGGACTGGGGAGCCGGTGGGTATGGGAATGGGAAGGATCTGGTGGGGTGTGGGGAGAGAGAGAGTACTTGGAGAGACTAGTGGAATTGTGAGACCTTTTGTGTGGGGGAGGGAGAAGCCTAATTCAATGAAAGCTCCCAGGAATCTATGAGGGTGAACCTAGCAAAACCTCCTAATAATAGGGAATTTGGAGCCTGAACACCTTCTGTAACCATGGAAGGCTTCCAGTGGAAGAATTGGGACACTGAGCCAGGCACAACCTTTGACCTGCAACTAGTTCTGTGATGTGGGAGTGATTTCTTATTAATAAAGAAACTGCCTCGGCCCTCATAGGACAGAAAATTAGGTAGGCGGAGTAAACAGAAGAGAATTCTGGGAGAAAGAAGCTTAGTGAGGAGTCGCCATGATTCTCCCGCTCCAGAGAGACGCAGGTTAAGATCCTCCCTGGTAAGCTAGCTCGTGGGCTACACAGAATATTAGAAATGGGTTAGAACAATATGTAAGAGCTAGCCAATAAGAAGCTGGACCTAGCTGGGCCAGGCAGTGTTTGAAAGAATACAGTTTCCATGTAATTATTTCGGGCATAAGCTAGCCATGTAGGCGGCCAGGTGCCCGGGACGCAGCCCTGCCGCTCTTATTTCAACAGTTCTGCCTGCAAGATGTACTGGGGTAGAAGTGACACAGAAATTATGAGAGTGCCCAACTGACTTGCCCCAGCTAGAGATCTATGCCACAAGAGGGAGCCCATGCCTGACACTGCCTGGAAGGTCAGGAACCAGAGTGGATAGCCCCGAGACCTAGGATAGAATCAAACATGACCAGAAAAAAAAAGTCAATGAAATGATTACTAATGATATAATGCTCTGCTCATAGACTAGAACCTAGCATAATTTTCATCAGAGATGCTTCATCTATTGCTAGGCTTCTTTGAGCCTCCACATTCCCCAGGGAAAGGTGGCTGTGTTATCTGCCCATTCCCGCAGCCCCAGGATACAGGACAATCATATGTGATAGGGAGTTGAGTCAAAACAGGATCTCAGTTTATTACTGTGAACCTCAGCTTATAAAGGTTAAGCATGATGTAAGGGTACCTTCAGCCAATGAGAGGCAGCCAAACTCTCCCTCTGGCTGGAGGAGCATCTACCTAGTTTTTGCTGTCTCATCCTCACTCAAACTCAAGCCAGACTTTTTTCTGTCCTATAGGCCTTGAAGTACAGACCTTGAGATAATTTTGGCCCAACATCTCCTCCTTTTGTTTTATATCCCGCACTCGACCCCGGTCACCAGGGCAGAATAGCCCACTAAGGAGAAAGTACTGGTTAGGGCCACCCCTATCTGGAGTTTTGGTCTGGATACCCTCAAATTGAAAATTCATCCATGGGGCAAGATGTATCGAGTCTATCATAATGTACTCGAAGGCTCATGAGTTGTACCTGTTGTATCTGTTTTTGGAATACATGTTTCTGTCTTTGGAAAATGCATGGGCCAAAAAGACAGATCAATAAACAAAGAGCCATTGGCCCAATTAGGGAAGAGATGAGTGTGGTAAGCCATGGGGACCAATTAAACCAGATCTCATAGGGAGTCCTTGACTTAAATGCATCAATATCTTTTCTTAACTCATCTAGGGTTCTTGTAACTATCCCAGAATGGTCTGCATAGAAGCAACATTCTTCCCCAAGTGCCCTGCAAGTTCCTCCCTGTTCCATAAACAGCAAATGCAAGCCTCTTCTATTTTGTAAGGTTACCCTTGCTAAGGAATCCAAATAATGTAATGCAGTCTCTGTTTTTTTCTAATTATGTCCTGCAGCCTACATCCCCAGGAAAACCAATAGTAACAGTTGCTAATAGTGAAGGCAGTCCGGTTGCTTGATGGTCATACATGAAAGGGTGTCTGAAGGAGGGCATGTCTCCTAAGGACATGAGAACACCCAGGCTCATTAGGGTAAGATGCTTGGGTAGGGTGCACCCCTGAGAACTTCCGCATTCAGGTCTCCCTTGGATCCCCTGAATCCAGTCTCCCACATCCCAGCTCCTGTGTGCCAAATCGCAGAGGTCAAACATCAGGTCAGGCAACCATGTCCAGGGTGTCATCATCTGAGAAGTCTGGTTTAGGATCCCTCCAGTGCCAACACTTGACAGGATTTATGTCACCTTCTGTGGTTGGTGAGGGTTTGCTGCCTGGACCTTGGTCCTCATGAGAAGAATTAACATGATTATTGCTGAGAGGACCTTCTGAAATAGATAAACAGGCAACACTCTTCTCAAAAGTTAATTCCCTTGGGCAGTGGTTATTTTTTTTTCTTGTGTTTGGATTTAAGGTTTAGCCACCATAATTTCTTTCTTTCTTGATCATCTTGGTCTTCCCCATTGTCCTGAGGGGAGGGGAGAAATTTAAGTTACGAGCAGGTAGCCATATAGGCATTTCCTCTCTGTTTGGGAAGACATATCCATATCATCGGCCCCTCCAGTGAGAGGATTCTTCCACTCAATCTTTAAGCAGGGCCTCATTGGTAGGGATCGCCAATGTTTCTGGAATCTATTTTGTTCATCTGATTTTTGAAAATTTAAAATATTGATGATTAACAATACCTTTTGCAGTTGTAGATGGGGGGAGACTCTCCCCCCTTTTGTTTTATAAGGCCCTATTTGAGATATCGATGATGTCTTTTAACAAATGCTTGACCCTGGGGGTTTTATGGGATATATTCCATCTCTGGAAGAATTCCTTTAATGTTTTATTTATAAAACAGGGGCTGTTGTCGGTCTTGACCTGTTGTGATAGTCCCAATGTAGCAAAACATTGTAAGCTTTAATTCTGTTCCAGAGATCTGGCAGTATAGGTATTTGTGTCCTCTCCAGTTGACATGAGTTAAGTCATGCATTTGGGTAGCATTTTGTATGGGCAGAGTTGAGACCTCTATGAGACAAGCCCCTGAAGTAGCAGCATCTGCAGCAGCATTCCCTTGACAAATGAGGCCTCAAGGTACAGGCCCTGAGATAATTTTGGCCCAACAATCTATCAACAGATGTGAGCAGATACAGAGAACCACAGGTAAGTATTAGGTGGAGCTTGGTTAATTCTGCAGAAGAAGGGGAGGAAGGAGCTAGAGAGGTCAAGGACACCACTAGAAAATGCACAGACTCATCCAAGAAGGACTCATAGGGGCTCACAAGACTGAACCAACAATCTGGGAGCCTATATAGGCTTTACCTGGGTCCTCTGCATTTATGTTATGGTTGTGCAGCTTGATTTTCTCATGGGACACCTAACAGTGAAAGTGGGGGCTCTCTCTAGCTTTTTTGCTTGCTTTGGGAGACACTTTTCCTCTTCTGGTTTTATATGAAGTCATGTGCCTAGTCTTATTGTTACTTGTTATACTGTGCTTGGTTGATATCCCTAGGAGGCCTGCCCTTTTCTGAAGGGAAATGGAGGAGTAGATCTGGGGGAGAGAGGAGGTGGGGGTACTGGGAGGAAAGGAGGAAAGGGAAATGGTGGTCACAATGTAATATATGAGAAAATAATAATTAAAAAAGAAAAATCATTTTTGGTAATCTAAAGTTGTAACTGATCTGTTGTCTCATTCAGGACCATGAAGGCCAAAAATTCAAGTCCAGCAACTTAAATCACCATAATTTCCTAGCCCTTGGGTTACTTCTTGTTTAACACTTATTTCTGTTTGGAATTCTTTTTTTTTTAAATTTATTTATTTATTATGTATACAATAGTCTGTCTGTTTGTATGTCTGCAGCCCAGAAGAAGGTATCAGACCTCATTACAGATGGTTGTGAGCCACCATGTGGTTGCCGGGAATTGAACTCAGGACCTTTGGAAGAGCAGGCAATGCTCTTAACCACTGAGCCATCTCTCCAGCCCCTCTGTTTGGAATTCTTTAATATTTATCCGCAGGTACATGACGTGTTAGTAAGACTAAGTGACATGTGAAAGATGTGGCTTTATTTTGTTATCCAAAAAAAAAAAAAAAAGGCAGCTGGGAAGGAAGTCACCTTGAACAATACCATCGTGTCTACTTGAATAAGAGTACATGTGTGTACTAAAAGGTTAGAGGTTCATTATTTTCAATTTCTTCTTGCCTCCCTACATCTTGCCAAGTTCTCCTGCACATGATTTAGAGTTTGCTATTCAAGTTGGTGAACTCCATTAAAAGCATGTTATTTGATTTACTATATGTCATGCCAAACAAGGTACTCAAGGCTTTCTGAACAGAGGGAATAGGAGAAGTGGAGGATCTGTCCATTTCCCATTCTTCCCATATATTTCCTAGCCACGCATCTCACATGCCATTCTGAGATGTAATCTGAGGTACTGAAAATGTTTTCTGGCAAGAGGCTTCCCAAGATAGGAGAAATAACATTAGAGACATAACATAAAAGCTGAGTGGTGGTGGCACATGCCTTTAATCCTAGCACTTAAGAGGCAGAGGCGGGCGGATCTCTGTGAGTTCAAGGCCAGTCTGGTTTACAGAGAGAGTTCCAAGATAGGATCAAAGCCACACAGAGAAACCCAATCTCAAAACCAGAGAGAGTGAGTGAGTGAGTGAGAGAGAGAGTCTTTATTTTTCAAGAAGCAGTATTAATAGCGAATATGAATCCATCAAGGGATATGAGCCAGGTTGCCAAGTTGAGACTGCAGTTTCTTTACAGTCATCATTTCCAAACTAGGTTCTCAGCCTCCTCATTCTCAGGCCAGTTGGCAGCAGCGGGCGGTGGTCCAGTCCATGCCTGCGCACTGACAGTGGCAGGTATTTCCATTCTGGATATCCCACGATCCACAACCATAGCCACAGGCACAACCAGTGACAGCCATCCCTGCATGGTTACATGAGACACAGACATCAGAATCTTTAGACTGCAAGAGATAGAAGGTCCCTAACTGTCCTTTTATCTTAGGAGGCACATGGGTGGGTCTAGGGTTTTGCAGGGCATAAAGCTATTCAAATTTCAGAATTCTCTTCAAGCAAATGAAATGCAAAAATTACTTCAACTGAAGGACTTGGAAGGAGGAGTTTCACAGTCATTCAATTGATGGGAATTTCACCCATGTTGTGGTCTCCTGCCCAAGAATGTAAGAAATAGACTAGGAAATGAATAGAGATTAGGAAATAAATTGTCTGTGACTGGACAATCGAGGAACAAGAAGGGCTGGCATGTGGGACATCAAGGAAGAAGTGGCAGGAAGAATGAGCCCAGAGTCCTTCGTAACCTCCTTCAGGTAACTGAAAACTAGAAAGAGACTATGCCTCAGCTCCATGGCAATATAAACCTGAATTAGGATAAGGTGGTATTTGGAAATTGATGGGGGTAGACACAGGGACACCTTATTCACAAATGCTCCTTGAGGAGTACTCACCAGCAGGACAGGAGGCTAGTTTGCCTCTAGCATTGACACTAGTGCAGGACAAAGACTTAGTCGCAGTGAAGGGACAGTCATCTGAGTAAGAGGAAGAATGTGATGTTATACATAATCTCTCTCACAGTTCCCTCTAATTCCTCTTCTATCCCAACAGTGCCACTGTTTCCATAATTAGTCCACTCACTTTTAAGATCAGTTCCTTCATTTGTGACGAGAAAGTAGTAAAAAGTAAAGTATACCTACCTCTGAAGTGGCCATGAAAATGAAATGAACTAACTAAAAGCTTAATATTATACCTGTTTCAGTATGCATTCACAAATTACAGGCCTACCCTCCTTTTCTTCATCCTTATCAAGAACATTGAGTTCTTACCTAAGAGTTCCAAAGGGTTGAGTACTAAGGAAATCCCTGACTAGGAAGGCAGGGAAGAAGTGGACTGAACAGAAGTTGAGATCTTAGAGTGGGATACAAGGGACTTTAGGTTTTATGAACAGTCAGCATGAGCAAGGAGTAGCCTATGGTTTCTACTACTCATCCCTTACCTCCACAGTGGAGAAGTTTCTTGATTTTTTTCTCCAGGAGCGAGTCTAAGGTCTCCGCAGTATTCATTGGGGCCATCAGCTGGAGAAGGGAGATGAAGATGAGAAGGTAACAAGTTGCCGTCTTCATCCTGTTGAAAGGCAGTGTCCTTGGACTGGAAGAAAAAGGCAAAGAAGATGAGATCTCTGAGCTCTGGAATGGCTGGGGGGGGAAGGATATATTCTGGAGAGAGTAGGGAGGGAGCAGCACAAGTCACTAGGCTGTAACTGTGTTTGCTGTTTAGAGAAGCAGAGAGGGTCCCCACAGTGCTGACTGACTCACCAGAAGCTCAGGAGTGGTTCCAGGGCCTGAGCAGCTGAGATGCTTTAGTACACTGGGATTGTTGACCTGGATACACAAATATATACAAGAACACCCCAATGAGGTAAACACTTTCAGTATGTTTTGACAGCCCGGATGCCTTGTACAGCAATTTCCTGTGAGTTAAGACACTTGGTTAAAGTACAAACAGTGAGTTTCTTGAGATTGAGGAAGTAAAGCCTCTTCACTTATGTGGTGAAGCTGAAATAAGATTTTCCTCCACAAAGTTATGGGAAAAGCAATCAGCTATTGACTCTGTTTAGCTGAACAGCCAAGTCATGATTCTTGGCCCATGGAGGTTCCTGGAAAATCTTGCAGAGGGCTCTAGAGATGCAGCATTAGGGACTCACAACACATTCTGGTGTGAGCTTTTCAGTGATAGAGCTGCACTCAAGTTGTCTATCTCCTGAAATTAATTCACACACATGCACACAAACACCTGTGTGCATGCATGCACTTAGAGCGACATACACAGAGAATGTGTTCTGTATCCTAAAACAAGTCATACACAACACACTTGGCACTAAAATTCAAACAGGAGAACCAGAGTTGTTAGGGAAGAGAGGCTGCATGTCTCTCCAATGGGTTCTAAGTCCTTTTCCCACATGGGGTAAGCATACCTGTTGCTACATCAGCAGTAGTAAGGGGCTTTGTGTTGGGTGATAAAACATGTAATCAAGGCTGAGCTATCTACCCAGTGGGAAAGTCTGGGCAGGAGAGATTTAAGTGGAACTGTCTTCCTTTAAGTACTATAGAGTAACATGCCTGTTCAATAAATGGGATCTGCTGTGTGAATTCAAAATGCTATGAAATAGGCTAAAGATTTAGAGAAAATTCTATGGTCCTTGAGAGCAAGAGTAAGAGAGTATATACTGTAGTGAGGTTGACAAGCTACTGCTAAGTGTAATAAAAAGTGCATCTACTGTTAAGATGGCAAGTCAGTAGAAATTTGCTTGTGGAAGAGAGAAATTACAAAGTAAAAGGAATATATAGCTGTTATGTTCTACATGAGCCCCTGGTTTGGTGTAAAAATGGTCTTACCCACTTCTTGGAGCTGACAGGATGGAAGAAAAAAAGAGTTGAAGTTAGATTTGTACTAAAGATCCCTTCAAGGATACCAGAAAATGGAAGGATCTCCCTTGCTCTTGGATTGGGAGGATCAACATAGTAAAAATGGCAATTCTACCAAGGGCAATTTATAGATTCAATGCAATCCCCATTAAAATCCCATCGAAATTCTTCACAGATCTTGAGAGGATATT